AAGTTAAATAATAATATATATATATATATATATATATATATATATATATATATATATATATATATATATATATTAATATATATATATAATTATATTTTTTTTTTGCAATATTTTTAAAAAACAAAAAATCTAATAGTTTTCGAATTTTTTGAATTAATTTTTTAAGTTTAATATTTTAAAAATAAATTAAAATATTTATTTTTTTAAAGTTATATTCAAATCAAATGTGTTATTTATTTAAAACTAATGATAAAATTTATTATTAATTTTTTACAAAAGAAGTATTATTATCTTGAAATTAAATTTATAAATTTATTAATAACAATTTGTTTTCTTTAAAAATAGTATTATTTTTATTTTCTGTAATTAATAAACAAATAGATTTTATTTTTAAAAATTTAAAATAATTAAATTTATTGGTAATTATAAAAAACAATGTAATATTTATTAGAATAAATAAATATAAATTTAACTATTATATAATAAAATTTATATTTATATAATTATACATTTTTATATATTATTATATTTATTATTATTTATATAATTTATATATTTATATATTATTAAATCCTTTTATTTTATAAATGTATAAGAAAATATTATAATATATAATATTTTATATTAATATTTAAAATCTAATAAATAATAATTAATTACATTAATATAAATTTAAAAGAAATTAATATAAATTTCAATTATTAAATTAAAAGATAAATATTTATAAAATATAATTTATTATAAATAATAATATATATAATTTTTATAAAATAAATATAAAATCATATAAAATAATTTATAATAAAATAACATGAATACTAATAATTAAGTTCATCACAATTAATATTATACATCTGAAAACTAAGTTATTCATCCTTTGCATAAAATAGAATTTTGCAAAGATTTTATATTATGTAAAAAACAAATAAAAAAATATCAATTAAAAAATAAAATAAGAGAAATGTGCAAACCCCTAATGTGAATAAAAACATATTAACTATTCAGAATTAAGAAAACAAATAAAAGATATACATAAACCTTATAAAAAGCATTTATGTAAATTATATGAATAAGGCCAAACATGTAATGAAAAAAAATAATTTTGTTTATTTGCACATGGAGAAGAAGATATATGGGTATATTTATTTTTTTAAAAAAAAACTGATTTAAAAAATAAAAATATAGAATTTTTAAAATAATGAGGATAATAATTTTTAAAAATAAAATGAATTTTAAAGAAAACCAAAAGAAGAATTTTAAAGAAAACCAAAAGAAGATAAACTTGAAAAAAAAGAGAAAAAAGAGATTAAATAATAAAAATTTGAATTATAATATAAAAACTCAAATAGAACAAATTAAAATATTAATAATAATATATAATAAAGGAGTTACGAATAAGAAGAAATTGATTTTGATAAAAAAGAATAACAATTAATGTAAGAAATAAATCAAAATGAAGATTAAGTATTTTCAAACTGTTCAGAATGGGAAAGTGATACTTAAGAAAATGAATCATTTAGTTTAAATAAAGAAGAATAGAATAAAATTTAAAATCTAAAAAAGAGAATAATTGGTATAATTTTTATAAAAATAATGAATTTTTGATTTAAAATGATCATTAATATGGTGAAGAAAACGAATTTGATTAATAATAAATAAATTCTTTGAATAATTATAGAAATAATATGAAAAAATAAAATAAGAAAATTAAATAATAATAAGGAAAATGTAATATTTAAGGATAGTAATAATAAGATATTTTAAAAAATTTAAAAAAATAAAAAGAAACTTAAGAAAAATAAGAAAGAAAAAGAAATAATTAAGAAAAAAAAGATAATTATTAAGAAAAAATTGAAAATAACTTAGAATAAAAGGATAATTATTAAGAAAAAAAGGAAAATAATTAATAAAAAAAGGAAAATAGTTAAGAAAAAATAGAAAATATTTAAGAAAAAAAGGAAAATAGGTAAAAAGAATCTAATAAAAAATAAAATTAAAATAAAAAATAAGAAAATAATAATAAAAACGAAGAAATAAATAATAAAAAATAAAAAAATAAAAAAAAAAATGAATAATAATTAGAAGAAAATAAAAAAAATGAAAATTATAAAAAAAAAGATAATTATAATAATATAATACAAGAAAATAAACCTTATATATAAAATGATAAGGAAATTAATTAAAAAATTTAAATATAAGAATTAGAAATATATTGCTTTTGCTATTTTAATAATAAAGAAGATCTAAAAGATTGGCCAAAGCATATTTTAGATATATTTTTTGATCTAAAAATTCCCGAAAACTCATTAATAATAAAAGAAGAAAGTTAAACAAATGCTTAAAACGGCTTAATTATCAAAATAAAAGGGATAAAAATACTAACATTATAACTATTAAGAATAAATATATATAAAACTCCAAAAATAAAATGCCTTTTTAGAATTAATTCAAATCCAGATTCTTAGATAACTTTTTCTAAAAAAATAATAATGAAAAAATAAATTAATTATTATTCTTTTTTAGCAGAAAATAATAGAGAATATATCATATTCGGAAAAAAGATGGACCTTCCTGAAAGCGAAAATCTTGAATTTAAAATTATGACTTTAGGAATTTATAAGATAATACAAATAAAATAGAAGAAACTATTATAGGTATATAAATGTTTATTATAAAAATTAATATTATATATTAATATAAATGTTTATAAATATATATATATATATATATATATATATATATATATATATATATATATATATATATATATATATATATATATATATATATATATATATATATATTAAAGGAATGCTTAATAGAATGAATATTTATTAAAATAATAATGAATTACTATCAGGATAAATTATTTTAGGCATATAAAATGAAAGTAGGAAATTTGTAGGATGTTCTACTTTAAATAATTGCCATGAAAATTTCTTTAGTTTTGTTAATAAAAGATTAAGGGAATGTACTCCATGTGTAGGAAGTGATTTATTTGTAAAAAAAGATTTTAGGGTTGTTATTCCTGGAGAAATAGAAAACGAATTTTTTTTAGTTGTTGATTTGCATGTTTTTTTACTTTAAATTAATAAACCACCTGAAAACACTCTTTTTTAAACTTCTAATGGCATTTTCTTTGAAAAAATAGATGAAGGTAATTGGCCAATGGGTAGTTCGAAAATATATTAAATGTTTTAAAAAGGATTAATTTCAGAAGACAGATTTTTAGTGGGATTGAAACAATTGGACAAAAGATATGCTTTTGTTTAATAAAAAAATAAAAAGAATAATTTTATATATTAAGAATTAGAATGATTTATATATATATTTAAATAATTTTTTAAAAAATATTTAATTTAATTGATTTTTTTTTTATTTTAATAATAATTTAAGAGTTCTTTACATTTATTATTTTTATTTTTATCTTTTAAACAAATAAAAATTACTCATATTTAGATTTTATTAAAAATATCAAATTTGCGTTTTTTATTTATTATTTTATTTTAAATAAAAATTATAATAATATATTATATTATTTCATTCTATTTATTGCTTTTTCGAAGTTATAATTTTATAAAATTAAATATTTTAAGTTAACATGTAAACATATAAATTAATAAAGATATAAAATAATATTTTATTTTAAAAAATAAAAGATAAAATTATCCTATATTATATATATAAATATTATATTAAATTACTAAGAATATAAGTCAATTCTATAATGAAAATTTGATAAAAAAAATATTATAATGCTTTTCATATATTTATATTAATTTAAGAATATTATCTAAAATATAAATAGATGATGTAATTATTTTATTTTTCGGAATATAATAATAATAAAAGTCAATAAATTAATTTCTAATTGCTTTTTAATTTTTGTTAAAAAAATATATTTTTGAGTTGAAATTAAAAATATTTATTAATTTGAAAAAATTCAAAATAAATTTATTCTATAAATATTTTTTTGAGTTTAGGTTTTTTGTTTTGTTGTGTTTAAAAATATATTAATAAAATATTCATTTTATATAAATAAAAATTAATATTATATATATAAAAAAATTAATATTTAAAATAATGAAATTTTAATAAAAAATTATTTATAATAAATTTATGATTTATTTATATTTTCTTTCATTAATTCACATAATAAATAAAAGATATAATAAAGATTTTAAATTATAATAAATAACCTCAAAAAAATATAATAAAAAATTATTTATTATATTATATTATATATTTATACTTTTCATATAAAAATTATATCACACGTTTTTATTTAAATTAAAAAAAAAATGATTTTTTATTTAATATAAAAGATTTAATTAAATATATTATAAAAATAATAAAAAAAATGAAAAATAAATTATTATTTATATTAATTATAAATTTAATAATCTATTGTTTTAAAACTAAAGAATATGTAGAATAATTTGAAGCTCATACAGGCCCTGTAGGATCACTTGAAATATTTGAAGTAGAATTATAAATTTTTTATAAAATAATTAATAAATAAATATAAATAATAAAGAAAAATGAATATATAAAATATATATATATATCTATATATATAAATATATATATATATATAAATATATAATTTTTATTTTTAGTATATATACATTTTATAAAATTATATAAATATATACATATTTATATCAATGTCAATATCAATATTAATATCAATATCATTATCAATATATATTTCTATACATTACTTTATATTATTTATTGTTTTTTATATTTATTTATTACATTTACTATTTTATTATAGGAAATGAATTTTTTAATAACCGGTGGTGCATTTGATAAATTAATAAAAGTTTGGGATATCAATACACACAAGCTTTTATTTTAACTTAAAGGTCATGATTAAGGCGTATGGGATTTACATAAATTTTCTGTAAAAATTAAATATATTTATATAATACAAAAAAATAATATACTTATTAAAAAATGATAATGATTTATTAAAAAAATTAATGATATACTATAAAGTATGGAGAAAAAAAATATGTTTTATCAGCTTCAAAAGATAAAACAATAAAATGTAAAAAAAAGCAAATATTAATATATATTTATACATTTGCATAGTATGGGATTTAAAATTATAAAAACTTACGAGAACATTTTAAGGACATACTGATACAGTTAATAAAGCTATATTTGTTCCTGTAAAATTTAAATTTATAAATATAAATTTAAAATTAAAAAAAAGGGTTTAGACCTTGTTGTAAGTGCAGGAATGGATAAATCTATAAAAAGTATAATTTTTTGTTTTTTAATTGATCAAAAAAAATAAAAATAAAAATAGTTTGGAATGCCAAAAAAGGAGGACCACCATTAAGATAAATACCAGATGCTCACAAAAACTGGATTAGAGGTTTATTGTATATTCCAGAATCCGATGGATTAGTAGCCAGTTCTAGTTACGATAAAACCGTAAAAGTATGGAATGTATAAACAGGAGAATTAGTTTAAGAAATGTTAGGACATGAAGCAGATATATACGCACTTACATATGAGGAAACTACAAATTAATTAATATCTTGTGATAATAAAGGTAATATTTTAAGATGGAATTGGCTTGAAGGCTCTTTCAAAGTAGTTTAATAAGATTAAAGCGGTTTTTTCGCTATCGGAATAACTACTATTCCTAATTCTAAACTTATGTTTACTGTAGGATATAATTCTTTTAATATATTTGGTAATTATATTTATATAAAAATCTTAATTCTTATTTATTATCGTATAACAAAAGCTCTTGATATTTCTAAATTAAATAAATAACCTTTATATGTAAAGAAAGGACATGCAAATGAAACATGGAATGTTAAATATAGAAAGGTAAAATAACAAAATATAAAAGAATATATTTATTTTATAAAAAAAAAAGGGTACAGGGTTCATATATTCAGGAAGTACTGATTATTCAGTGAAAAGTGATTTTTTTATAATTATTTAAAATAAAAAAATATATAATTTTTATTAAAGAATGGAATGTATGTGAATTTTTACATGAAATATTTGATTTAGAGGAAGGTATTTGTGTAAAAGAATGTAAAGAAGGTTATATTGAAAATAGTGATTTGAATATTTGTGTTAAATAAGTTAAGAAAAGTGAATTATGAGAGGAATAATATTATATTCCTTTTTAATAAATATTTTATTCTACTTGTTTTTTTTTTTTTTTTTGAGATTTAATATTATAATTATTATTTTTATTAATAATTGTGCATTTTTATTTTATTTTTTATGTTGAAAAATACATTTTTTTTTTATTTAATTAATATAATTAAATTATAAAAAACTTAAACTATATTTTTATTGTTTAATATAATATAATATAATAAAATAAATAAATAAATAGTTATTAAATTATACAAATTTTCTAGCTAGAATTAAAATAACATTCAATTCTAATTGTCTTAAAAATTTTTAAATCTAATTACATGCTTATTGTATGAATTATTATGATTAAATTATAGCTACCAATTCAAAACAGTAGGTTCTAAATTAAGCTATGATTTCCATATAATTTTAATAGGAATATTAAATATTCCATAACCTTTTCTTAAAACTTGATAAGGTGATTTAGTACATGTAACAGTAGGATTTTGAAAAGTTTCATGTAGTTTAAAAATAACACTTTGTACATAATTTTCTTCTTTATTGCTTGTTTAAAGTTTTATATATACACACCATTCGTGATTATTTTAATGACATATAGAAGTTCTAGATTATTAAGGATCTTCTACTTATTTATATGAATTTCCATATAGGATTGTTAATGAAATAAATGAGTCGATTTCTTTTTAAATTATTAATATTTCGGTCTATCTTTTACGATATTATTAAGGAAAAATTTCTTTAATTGATTTTTCAAATGTTCGATCTATAAGTAGATTATCAATATTTTTTATTTAATTTCTGCAAATAGGGCATATTATATCAGATGAGAAATCCTTCAATTACTATATACATATTTTGCAAAAATAATGTTTACATAAGGTTTTAGTTGGGTTTACTATTAAATTTAAACATATAGGACATTCATAGTCTTATTCTTAATTCTACATTATTTATTTTTGTTAAAATAATATTAAATTAATTTAATTTATTTTAGTTTAATTACAAAAATTTTTAAAAAATTAAAATCTGGTAAATTTTGGAGTTAAAAATATATATGCTTATAAATTAATATATTCTAATAATAATTAAAAAAATATATTATAAATTTTTATTTAAATTTAATATACAAATAATATATATAATAATAATATATATAAGGAAATATAAAAATAAAAAATATAAATTTATAGATATAAAATTAAAAATATAAATATGTGTAAATATTTAAAAATATATAAAATTATAAAAAAAATATATAAATATAATATATATAAATATAATTTTTTAATTATATTACATTTATTATTTAATAATATAATTATAATATATATATTTTGTTTATTTAATCTAATAAATTATTATATTAGTTTATTTATTTTTAATATGTATTAACTATAGATATTTTTAAAACTTATTATTTTTTTTTACTTTATTTTTCTTTTTAATTGGAAGAAAATAAATTAATTATTTATTATTTTTTAAAGATTTAATTTTATCTTAATTTATAAATCATTTTTTTAAATATCTATTTATAAATTTAATATTTTTATATATGATGAATACAAAATTATATTTTCATGAAACTTTTTTTTTCAAAAATCTTATAATATATAAATTTGTTTTGAATAAAATAATTATCTAAAGTGTATTTATGTTTATGATATAATTAACTTTTAACTATTTTTAGATTTTTATTTAACTTCAATTTATATTAATTCTTCTTAATAGATTCTTTTATTTATTTATGTATTTTTTTAGAAAATCAATTATCAAATAAAAAGGCAAGAAAAAATAGATAATGATATTTTTTTATTTTAATTCTTATCAAAAAACTTACAGAAAAAATGAAATAATATAAACAAGTAAAAAAAAATGAATTAGTTTAATAATATATTTAAATAAATAAAAAGTTACAATAAAAATAAAATATATTTTTATTTATTATATTATATGAAAAATACATAATTAAAATTTAAATAAAATATTTATAAATAAAAATGCTTTTAATTAATAGATCAGATACAAATATATAATAAAATAAAAAATATATTCTTTTTTTCATAAAGCATTGTTTATTTTCTTATATTTATAAATTATCATAAGTTATAATTTATTTATATTTACTTATTATAAATTAAAATTTAATAAATAATGCCATTTAAAAATTTTTTAATAGCATAAGTTTATGAATTTTAATATTTTTTAATAAGAAATAATTTCTTGTAAATTTTTAACAATTTTTAATTTTTCGAGATATTTTATTTTAAATTTGTTTGTTTTTTTCTAACTTTACAATAAAAAAAAAATTAATTTAGTTTTATTTTGAATTAATAATATTAATTTATTTTCTTCTTTTAATTAAAAAACTTTATTTTAAATAAATATTTTTGTTTTGTATTATTTATTTGAATTTAATATTTTGTGATTTTTTTATTTATTTTTTATTAAATAAAAAATTTATTTTAATAAAAAATATTTATTTTAAACAGTAATTAAAATTAAAAAAGATATATTTAATTATAATATAGAAACCAAAATAAAAAATAATTTAATAAACTAAAACTAATTATTTATAATATAAAAAATAGAGTTGTATATAGTAAATAGTAATTTTATCTTTTATTTATATATATATATATATATTTATTTTATATTTGTATTAATATTTAGTTATAATTTTAAAAAATCTAATTTCAATTGAAATATCAAAAATAAGAATTGAACTCTACATCATGTAATTCAGTATTAATAAATTTATTTGATTGCAAATTCCATTTTAAAAAAACCGTATCTTAATTAAGCCATCTTTTAAAGAATACTTCAATATAAATAATTGGTTTTTCAGGTTTTTATATTCTTAATTAAAAAGGAGGATTATAATATGTAAAATTTGATTAATTACGATCATGTAATTTAAAGTTTACTTTTTATATAAAATTCTTTTATTCTCTATTTGTTATATATTTTTTTTAGCTTGTCCTTTCAATTCCAACGAATACACACCACTTATAATTTGTTTGATTACTGTAAAATTTGTTCCCATATAGAATTTATAATACATCATATTTTTCAGGTTTTAGTTCTAAAATTCTTTAATAATATTATTCAGGAAATTTTTCTTTAATTTATCTATCAAAATCTTTATCAATTTCTAATCTATCGATATCTTCTATCTTAGTTCTGCAAATAGGGCATTATATTGTTAATTCTGACTAGAATTTATTCATATATTATAAACATTTATTACAAAAATAATGATTACATTAAGTTTAAATCGGTTCCGTTAATATATTTAAACATATAGGGCATGAATATTATAATTTATTAAAAGTCATTTTTTAATTTATTAAAATATTTAATTTTTTTCTTATCTTTTTTTTTAAATATATTAAAATTTATTTTTACAAATTTTTTTAAAATGTAATTTAATAATATATTACGTAATCTATATAATATATAACTAATATCAATTCTAAAATCCATGTAGTTTTTAAATTACTATACATATTAAAATCATATTTTTAGAACAAATTATAATATTATGTATATTTTTGGAATCATTCATCATAGAAAATATATATTCTTAATTTTAAAAAGATTTTTTATAAATAAAATATGAATTATTGATATATGAAAAATTAAATATTATAAATATAAAATGATTGATATATATAATATAAAATATATTATTTGAAATATTACAAATTTAATAAATATTGAATTATTTATATATAAAAAGTTTAAAATATAAATACAAATTATAATAACTAATATAATAATATATTTAATTATGATTTTTTTTTTCTTACTTTATTTTTTATCTTATCATAATAAAAAAAAAATATTTATAATTTTTTTTTTTAATTTTCCTAGTTATTAATTTAAACATAAGAATATTTTTTTTTTATAATTTGTAATTTTTTTTATAATTTTAATTATTGATACTTATTAATTTTAAAATAAATTATTTTCTTATGTAAAAAATTTTTTTTAGTTATAAATTATTTTTAATTAAGGGAAATAAGATTTATTAAATTAGATTATTTTTTAATTAATTTCTAATCAAAATTTTTATGCTATGTATATTTTTAACTAACAATATATATGAAAATTAATCATTGAGTTTAAAAACATTGTTTTGTTAATAATTATTAAATTCTACAATTTCTAAATTATTAAAGATTAGTTTTCTTTAAACAGTTTTAAAATAAAGAAATATTTTTGATTAAGTATTCATTTTGATTAATAATAATTATTTTAATGTATTATTTTTTTGAATTTAAAATATAATTTAATTTAAATAATAATTAATTATTAAATAAATATTAAATTAAATAAATATTTTAACAAAACAAAACAAAATATAACGTATAATTAAAAAGATAAATTTAAAATACTAATAAATTTTTAGTTAAAATTAAATATTTTTCAATTTTATAATTATATATATATTATATTTATTTATAATAATATAACTTATATTATTTTGTATTAAATAAAGAAATTTTTTTTTTTTCAAAATAAATATTAATATTAAGATAAATTATTTTTTCATAATTTTTAAATATCAAAACTATTAGAATGATTAAAAATATAATATATGTAATATTGAAATAAAATGAATTAAGAATATTTAATAAAAAAAAAATAACCAATGGAAATAATTTAAGATATATATATAAATATTGTTTTAATTAAAAGATAATAATTAATAAAAATATTTTTATTTTTATCTATGATTTATTAAATACTTTAAATATATATTATTATTTAAATTTATTTTTATATAATTAATAAAAATTATTTAAAATATATAATCAATTGTATATAAATAAATGTATAATTTAAATATTAAAAATTATATAAAAACATATAAATTATAAATATATTTTAAATAAAAATGCTTTTATAATACATATATTTGTAATAAGATATCAATTATTTAAAAACAGAATATAAAATAAAGTAATAATATATAAAATAAAAACATATAAATACACAAAATAATATATATATATATATAAATATTTATATAAATTAATATTTTTATAATTTTTTTTTTAATCTTTATATATAAAATAAATTATTTTTTTTTTAAAAAAAAAAAAAAACAAAAAAATTTATATAACAACTTTTATTATTATTTTCTTAATTTTTATTAATTCATTTCTCTATATTCTTATTAAGTAATAATTTATCTGTAATTTATTAATTGTATTAGATTTTTTGAATTAATTCATTATATTTTTTTTATTAATATCATTTCTTTAAATAAACATTTATAAATTATCATCACTTAAAGAGTATTAATTATGAGTCGCATTTCCATTAAAACTATCATTTACAAAGCTTTATTTTCTTAGAATATCTTCACTTTTGAAAATATATTTTTTCATTTGTTTTTATTAGTCTTCTTCTTTAATAATTTACGAAAAAGCTAAATTGGTTATAAAAGTGGGTGATTAAGATTATTCTTTAGCACTTTAAATATCGTTTTGTTCATATTAATCAAAAGAGACAAAAACCTACTTTTAAGATTCTTAAATATTTTTAAACAAATTTTCTGTATGTTAATTAGTTTATGAAATAAAGTTTACTAAATCAGTAATTTTTTAAACACTTTCTTTCAAAAACTTGGTATTTTGTACATTTTTAATAGATACTATCAATATACTTTAATTATTAAATTCTTAAATTTTCTTTTATTCATAAAGTTTGACCATTTCTGCATATTCAGAAATGATTTCATTTAAAGTTTTTTCGTCCATATCTTCAATTATTTGATTGAAATTTAAAGTTATATCTTTTTCAGTATTTAAAAGTTAATTTAATATATTTTACACTTAAAATTAGTTCGTTTTGCATATAGATAAACATGAGTTTAATTATTCTGTAAGCTTTTATTTACTTTCATTTATTGTGCTTTCTATTGTAATAATAATTTCTTTTTTTATTTATTCAAGAAAAGATACGTTTTTGTGATAATCAGATATTGTAAAATCATTCCTTTCTTATAAATTTTTTTATATTTGTATATATTCTTGTTTTATTATTTCTAGTCTTATTTTAAAATCACTCAGTTATTTTTCTTTTCGTTGCTTTATATACATATTTGACTCTTATTTTGAAAATGTAAAATATTAATTTTATTAATGCTAAATTGTTTATTATTATTATTAAGTTTGCTATTATTAGGGTATTTATTATTATTATTATTATTATTATTATTATTATTATTATTATTATTATTATTATTATTATTATGCTTAAAGTTTATTTGGATTAACTGTTTAATTTTTTTATTATTCATAATTTTATGGAGATGAACATTTCGTTAATAAATAACTTATATTTTAAGTGGATTATTATATTTTTTCTGTTTTTTATTTGTCGAAATCTTAAATTATTCCTATATCTAAGTTTATGGTTTGTGTTTTTTTTTCTTATTTTTAAGTTTATTATATGTTTTGCTTTAATATAGATGTTTTTTTCTATTGCTATTATTGTTAATATTTTTATAAATCTAAAAATTTTTAATTTATTGGAAATTTCGTATTTGTTTAATTATGAAGTTTTATCATTTTTTTTATTTTTTAATCTATTTTTTTTTTTTTTTTTATATTAAAAATAAAAGAAAGAAAATTTTTGTAATATATGTTTTTTTTGTCATTTCGATAATTCTAAATTTGTTATTAATATAGAAATGAAAATTTTAAAATATTTTAATTTAAATTTTTATTTTTTTCATATATATATTAATATAATTTTATAATACTAATATAAAAAATAAATATGATGTTATTACACTTAAAAAAAATATTTATTTTATTATTTATATATACAAAAAAATAAAATATTACTTTTATTTATATTGCTTTATTTTTTCATTGTTTTTATTCTAAAAATCTAAAAAACAAAAAAAGGCTATTAGTTATCCTTTTTTATTCATTTTTTTGATTGATTTTAAAAAAAAAAATAAAAAAAAAGTAAAAACAAATTATATATAAAATTTGTATATATAACAGTAAAAAAAAAACAAAAAAAAAACATAAAAAAAATTCAAATGAATAAACAATAGATAATTTTCCGAAATTTATACACAAAATATTCCGCTAGTCAAAATTGCTTTTACGCTTAAGAAATAAATGAAATATTATAAAATATTCCTGATTCTAAATATGTAATTCGTTATATGTATTTCGTATAATTTGATGATGATCAAGAGTAGTATTTAAAAAGATATTATTACAATTAAGAATACAATTAAAAAATAAAAATCCTTCTCGAATATTATTAATATCATAATGATATACCCCGTATGTTTATGTTTCCTTTATTTTTAACTATTCATAAATATTATACTAAATAAAGAAAATTAAAATATAATAATCTTAATAATAATTATAGTAATTATAATGTTAATAATAAATAGGAAATAAAAAATAAATAAAATATAAAATAATAAAATTAAAATAAAATTTTGAATAATATAAGTAGTTTTTGTGACGAAACATAAAAATCAATAATTGATCTTTATAATAAGTTAAATGAGATATGTAAAAGTGTAAAAAAAGACGAGAAACTTTAAGAAAACAATTCAAGTATAGGAAATTTAAGTAAATACTTGAATTTTATAAAATAAAAAGAAGATTAAAAAAATATTAAAAATAAAAAATAAAATATAATCTAAATTTGTATTCCTAAATAAAAAAAGGTTTCTTAATAATAATTTTATGAAAAATAATAAGAAAAACATAAACTAAGTTTAAATAAATTAATAAGGGAAAGTAATAATAAAGAAAATAAAAATAATTTAAATTAATAATAAAAATAACCAACAATTAAAATAGTTTAGTAAAAACTTGAAAATAAGACTTAAAAAAAGTATTCTCTTGTAAATTAAAATTGTATTATATTAAATACTTCGGCTTTAAAACTTTTTAAAAAAAAAATACTACATTAAGAGAATAAATTTCAACAAAAATAAATACTTATAGAGATTTTTAGAAAAAAAATATATAAAAAGAAACTTCTATAAAAATTAATTTTCAAAATTAATTTTCTAAAAATAATACTTACAGAGAATTTTCTAAAATTAATACTTAAAGAGAACTTTCTAAGATTAATTCTTAAAGAGAATTTTTTAAAACAGACACTTAAAGAGAATTTCAAAGAATGAATTCTTAAAGAGATTTATTAAGGACAAGTAATTAATTTTAAACGAAAAAATCTTAAACTATTCATATTAATATTCTTAAATAATAAACTAAATAATAAAAAATTATTAAAAAATAATCAACTTTCTCAAGAATTAAAACAGATATAACTAATTCGACTAATGTGAGTCATAATAATGTTTAAAAAAATTAAAAGAAAGCTTAAAATAATAATAATAAAATTAATAATTTATGTCAGACTAATAATAAATATAATAATTTAAGAGAAGCTTATTTCAATTATGCAAGAATAGTTTAGACTTAAAGGAATACTTATAATAATAATAGTGAGATTTTAAGTCAAATTAAAAATAATACTAAATAATTATTAAAAAATAATTAGAAAAGTATCTTTTTAAAACCTAATATTATCAATAATAATATTTGAACACTAAAATTTATATATTTTTAATTTTTTTTAATGAATATAATGCATTTTTTTATTATAATATTAATTATTTTATATCAAATATTGTGTTTTTATAGAATTAACAAAATATTCAATTTAATTATTATTAAATATATAATTTAAATAATTTATAATTATAAATATATATATAATTTTATATATCAAAACTATATAATTATATTTTGAATAAATATATTTAATTCAAATATTTATAGTTAATTAAAATTTATATATAATTAAAAAAGTAAATATCAATTAATATATATATATATATATAAAAATTTATTAAGTTTAGTAATTTTTTTGTTTTCAAAGTTTAGATAATTTATTAATTTTGATTTCATTTTTTTCCATAAAATCATTCATAAAATCTCTTAATTTATATATACCTTCACTTTAATTGCCATTATAAATAGAAACACGTATACCCTCTTTATAAAAATAAAGTTAAATTTAACAAAAAATTCAATATTAAATTTACTTGTAGCAGGATGTCCTCTTAATTCAATTAATCCATTTTATTCAGCTTCTTAAATGAATTTATTGTCCAATTAATCGTCTAATTTAATTTTAAAATAATATATATATATATATATATATTTACTATTATTGCAATTAAAACTAATATTAAGTCTTGATCTTTAATCATAATTTTGACAAAAAGGTACAAAAAACCCTCTAGAGGAATCTATGATATCCCAAATAATCTTCGATCTTTTATAACTAAGTTCTTCCCAATATTTAATTCCTCCAGGAGCTTAATTAAGATAATTAACATATGTATAAGTCGAATAGACTAAATAAGTTGCAGGATGATAATAAAAATCAGGGCTTAAAATATTACTCCAATCAGCATAAGAAGGGGTGTATTTTTAAGCTTTTCCAAGCAAATTTTTTCTCACAAAGGCAATAGCGCTTCCCGAAACTCCCAAATTTTTTTGAGAAGCGGCATAAATACATGCATATTTATCTGTTTCGATTTTTTTAGTTCCTAAAGAACTAGTCATATCGGAAATTAAAAGTTATCCATTTTTAAATACAGGAGGCTTTTTAAATTCTAAACCACTCAAAGTTTCATTGTCGGTATAGTGAAAATATTTTGCGTTTTCATCTACATTCCAATCCTATTATTTTGGAATTATGTTCTATTTTTCCAATATAGGATGAACTAAATTGATTTTACCGAATTTTTAAGCTTCTTTATATGTACGGGCACCCCAAAAGCCTGTTACAATATAATTTGCAGTATCATTTTAGTCATTTAAAAGGTTTAAAGGGACACTAGAATTTAATAAATGGGCGCCTCCTTCCATTAAAAGAACTTCGAAAGTCGAAGGAATATCGAATAGATTTATTAGTTCTTCTTTACATTTTTTATGTATTTCTTTGTATTCGAATTAGTCTACGGAAAACTCTAAGGCACTTATTCCTGTGTCTTTGTATTTTTTTTTTATTAAAAGTTTTTTTTTTTTTACCTTAAAATGTAAATAAGGAATCATAACATCTGTTTTGGACTTGTAAAGGTAAAGAACAGGGGCCAGGAGAAAATGTATAAATGTCTCTTTTTTCAGCTTCTATTTACATATTATGCAAATGGTGAGTTTTCTTTAATTATTTTTAATTTAATTTGTTTATTTCTGTAATTTTTTTTAATTTATCAAATAAATTATAAAACGTTAATTTTATAATTTAAGTAAGTTGGAGGGGGAGGTTAAGGAACATTTTTTAATAATATTATGAATCTTATATATTAATTTAAAACATTATTTTATATTTAATTTTTTAAAAGTATTATTGGCAATAAAAAATGAGAGCGAAAAAAATAATTATGATCTTTTTATTTTTTGTTTAAGTTTTTATTAAAGATTACCAAAAAAATGATAAAAATAAATCATGCTAAAAAAAAATATTCTATTGTCTATTGTATATTTAATTAATATATAATTTAAATTCATTTAGTTTAATTTTATTTTATATGCAAATAAAATAATTCTTTGCTTAATATCGTTTTTTTTTTTTCTTCACATAAATAATAAAAATAAATCTTTAAATTTATTTCATTTTGATGTTAATATAATAAAAACACTGCAGATACTATTATATAAATAAAAAGAATCACAATAAAATTATAAATAAATTAACTAATATTATATTTTATATAAAAAATTTAAATAAATATTATTATTTTTGAAATACACTAAAAAAAGTAATTAAAAATAAAATATAATTAAGTTGCGTATTATTATTATTGTGATGTATTATATTAATATTATTAGAAAAGCTTAAACATTATTAATTAATTATATTAATTTTCAAATATAAAAATATTAAGTTATTTATATGATTTAAATATTGCTATATTTATTTATAATTTTAAAATAATAAAATAATTATTTATTAATACAACTATAATTAAATATTTTTTATTTATAAATAATTAATACTCATTATTTAAATTTATATTATTTAATTTAATAAAAAAATACATTTATATTAACATTTTTTTTTTTATATAAATCAAATTAAATAATTAAAAATATTTATTAATATATAACAATAGTTTTTTAGTATAATATAAATTTATATAAAACACTTAATTTATATTAATAATATAAACTTCAATTATTTTATAAAAAAAACTTAATTTTTTTTTTTTTAAATATATATTTTTTTAGATGAATTTTTAAAGAATTTAAAAGTCTATATATATAAACTTTTTTTTTAATTTTTCTTATAAAATTATAATTATTAATTGTATTATTTTTTTAAAAATTTTAAATAATAAAATTTATTAATGATTTACATAATTAAAATCAAACATTTTTATTACTTTTAATTCTTTTAATATTCTTAATAAATTGATAAAATTTATTAATTTTACATTGTATATATTTATTTATTATTATTATAATTAATTTAATATTTTATTTAAATAAAATAAATAAATATATAATATAATATATATATTTTTTATTTTTTTCAAGCTTAAAATTAATATTTCATTTAATTCATTAACAAAGTTTCTTTATGGTAATTTTATCTTAAATTCATGCTTATATATATATAATCTTTTTTTTTAGTTTGTTCTTTTTATTAAACTTTATTATTATATCGTTTTTTTAAAACATTTTAATCCTAATAGTCATTTTTTAAAGTTAAAAGAGGAACTTAATTTTATTCTATTATTTCTTTTAATTATTATTCATTTTGAAATTTAGTTTATTCAAATTAATTTATATATTAGTAAACATTAAAATATATTTAAGAATTCGCTAAATCGACATTATTAGAATCAAAAAAATGCTTAAATTATTAATACATTTCATTTAAGCAATTATACATTTGATTCATATCGACTTAATTATTATGAATAACATTTAATTTTTAATTCCAGACTGGTTAAACTCCGTTTATTTTTCTTAAAAAGGCTACACATGAAGCAGCTACTACACTTTAGTCATATTAATAAAAAGAAGATTCTATTATTTTATATTTATTTATTAATAAAGCATTTTTTTTTTTTTAAATTTAAAAATACATTCAAGTAATAATGAAGTTAATAAAATATAATCATTTTCTATTTTTTATAAAGTCTAATGAGCTATTTATTATTATTAAATGCATTATAATTATTAATTATTATCAAATTCATCTTTTGTGCTTTTATCTTTTTTGTTTAAATTTGTTTTATTTAGGTTTTATTTTTCTTTTAATACATCACCAAATTATTAGGTATTATTATTGTCATAAAAATAATCATTTGAAAAAATAATTCCTTAACATAAATAAAGCTCTAAAATATCAATAGTTGTAGTACATTATAAATTCCAATTTAAAAGCTTTAAAATATTGGATTCAGATTAACGAAAATCACTAATTTAGTTACATTAATCAAGATCACTTGCTTACATTAGTTTCGGAATGAAAGGAATTTTAAAATCTAATTCAATAGCTTTTGCTATAAAAAATAGATATAAAAAAAATATATAAATATATTTATATAAATATATATATATATATATTTATATATTTTATTTTTTTAAAAACAAAAAAAAAATTTTTTAATATTTTTATATACCTGCAAGCATTACACTTGTTGAGGCATATACTTAGTATTAATTTTTTTATATATTGTTTATTCTTGTTAAGGTTGTATCCATAAATTATATAGCTAAATGAATTGTATTTATATTTAATTATAATCTATTAGATATTTTCCATATAAAATTTAATAATTTATTTCTAATCTTTTTATTTTTTATTATTTATTAAATTATATTAATATTATACTTTTGAATAATATGAGCCATTGTTAATTTTTATTTATGGAATGCGTTATTTTTATAAAGAATTATAAATATAGGTTGGATTAAAAGAGGTTCCATAATTTTTTGAATGTAATTTATATGCTTATATATTATTTTCCTTTTTTATTTTAAGTTAAATAAATTAATATTTTTTTTATTTTTTTTAAGTTTTAAAAATAATTTTTGAATGATAAAAATAAAAAAATTACACATATTAGTGTGCCACAATTAAAGCAATTTGTTTAATTATTATTTTTTACAGTCTTTAAATGTTTACAATTATTTAATTCTTTATTTGTCATGTTACTTTATTATTTTTTATTTATTTTAATTTCTGTTTAAATTATATTTTTTAACTAATTTTATTAAGTTATTTTGAATATAAAAGTTAAAATATAAAAATTTATGTTTTTATTATATAAAGATTCGAAATTAAAAATTTTATTTTTCTAATAAGAATGTATTATTTTAACTAAGTTAATTTTACTATAATTAAAATAATATAATTACTATAAAATAAATATATAAATAATATAATTTTTCAAAATAAATAAAAATATTTGTATATATTATAATAAAATTTAATAACAAAATAGAAAAGCAATTCTATATATCTGACAATTTTTATATTTAAACTAATTTGGGAATAGAAAAAAAGATATAATTTTGATTAGTATCAAATTATAAATTAATTTAAAATGATAGGAAAATTATTCTATTTTTTAATAAATACAAAATTTTATTTAAAAGCTTATTTTAAATATAAATTTATATCATTTTTATGAGCAAGATTTTTTTTTTTTTTATGGTATAATTTTTTATTAAATTAAAAATTAAATTTTATTTAAAATAAATAATGTAATTTATATAAATATAAAAATTAATAATGTAATTAAAGAATAAAAATAAAAAATAAAAATATAAATATAAAAATTATTTTTTACAAAATTTTTATTTCAAATATTATAAAGATTAAATAATATGACAATTTAATTATATATTATTTTTATTTAAATTAAAAAAAATATAAATTACTATGATTCCTATTTAAATTTTAATGTTTATTATATAAAATAGTTTTATTTATTTTTAATATATTATAATATTTAAGCAATTATTTAAATATATATTTACTCTTTTATGATCACTTTTTTTTAAAAAATATATATAATAATAAAAAAATTATACATGTTTTTTAGATTTCTTGAGTTATAATTTTTTGAAATTGCTTTCTTTAAATCTAACTTTTTTTTATTTTTAGTTTTTATAAGTTATCATCAGATTAGAATCCTCCAATAATTAAGTCTTTTTTCTTAATAATAGATCGTAGACTATAATTGCTTATATTAGATTAATCTAACGAATCATTAATGTTATCTTTATTTAAGTTCTTTAAATGTCCATGCATATTTTATTTATTATTAGCTTAAATATTAAATATTTATTATTATTATTATTATTATTATTATTATTATTATTATTATTATTATTATTCCTATTGATTTAAATCTTGTTTTTAGTTTATTATTTATTTTTATTAATTTTATTATTATTCTTTTTTATTTTATATTTCTTATTATTATTCTTTTTTTTAATTTGTTTATTATTTTTATATAATTATTTTTTCTATTATTTATTAATTATTATTTTATTCTTCCTTTTATTCTAAAATAGTTTATTATGATTTATTATTTTAAGAATTATTATCTAATTATTAATGTTATTATTATTAGTTTATTTTCTATATCAAATATTCTTTTTCTTTTTAATTAATTTCTTTAAAAGTAGAAGATTTTTTAGAATCAGTTTCTTTTATATTTGTTGGAGATAGTTAATTAGTTTATTTAACATTTAGTGTTTGATCCAATTTACTTTCTATACTATCACTTTACTAAGATTTTTATTAGACATATGCATTTAGCTATGAGATTTTTTGTAGTATTTATTATTATTAATATTTTTTTTTTAAATAAAATAAAAAAATTATTATTAAATATGTTTGATTACCTTTATATTTTTACCGTGTTTTCGCCATAAAAACTTTCATTTTTATTTTCTTCAATATCGTTTGTATTTTAATATATTAGTTAGGAATGGTTTCTTATGAAACTTCCTTATTAATTAATATTTATCTCTTCTTCAGGTTAATTGTTATTATTTTTTTCTATCGTATAGGTTATTTCGAAATTTTTGTTATTATTTGAATGCTTATCATTTATTATTATTTCTTATGCACAGCAAGTACCCATATTTTTTATTTTATTTAAATATTTTCTTTATATATATTTAAATAAAAATTATTTATTAATTTTTTTTTATATTTTTTTTTCTTGTTTAATTAATATAAATATATATTAACTAGTTAAAATAAAAATAATTAAAAAGTGTGAAATATTAATTTTTTTATTAAACGAATAAATATTAAATATATAATACACATTTATAAATACATTTTATAAAAAATAAATATTCTTTTATTTTTTAATTATTTATTTCTTCTTTTATTATATAAAATATTTTAGTATTTTAATTTTCCAATAAAGAACAAAGCTTTATTCAATATATATAAATGTAGTATTAAAATTAATTTGTAAAAAAACAACTATCTCAATATTTAATTTTTTGTTTTGTTTACCGTTAAGCAATATATTTAGGAGAAAAAATATTTTCTCTAAATAGCTGTATTAAAAGTGTTATAAATAATAGGATATTTTAATAGTTTATGGATAATATTTTTCTTTCGCAAGAATGTCTATTGGAAGCACTCTAAAGTTTTTAGGGTATAAATTAGTCGAAATTTATGTAAAAATATAAACTAATTATTTGACTGTGATGGCTTTTTTATTAAATTTGGATTTCTTGAGAAAGGGGGGGGGTAAATGTATAATGATTTATAAAAAGATGAATAAAGGAACTTTCAGAAATTTATCTATGAAGTTAAATTAAATAAGTATTCAATTTTTAAATATATATGAAATAATTATGCTAAAACTATAAATTTTATTATGAAAAAAGATAATACTTTTAAATATATAAAAAAAAAATTATTTTAATTTATATAAATAAAATATATATATATATATATATATATATATATATTTTATAAGAATTAAATAATATATACATATTTATATATATTAAATTTATATTAATATTAAAATTGAATTTATGGGAACTTATAAATCAAAAGGATTATAATAAAATGTATTCGAATAAGAATAATTAGATGAATCTCCTCCTGAAGTATAACCGAAAACGAGATCCCCCATGCCCGATTTATGGAAATTAAATATACTAAGAGGTAAACGAGAAGATGAATTAAAAAATGAGGCAATGCCCATTGCAAGAAGGAGATGTAAAAAAAAAGTGACAAAATTTATTGAATGTGAAAGAGAATGGGGAAAATATTGGACTGTTTTTGAATGTTAGGAGGAATATTAAAATATGAATGAGTGCTTTTAAAGAGAAGTAGAAATTGAAACTGATAAATTAAGAAGAGATATGAATAGACATGAAGAATGGTGGTGGAAAGTACTTTATGATGAACAAGGAGAAATTGGGTAGTAGGCTTAATGGTAAAATGAATGGTGGCTTACTTTATTTATTAATAGGCTCCACAAGAAATATTTTGAGTGATTTTTTATTGTTAATATGTGTATTTTTTTTATTATAATATAAAATTAATTTTTTTATATTTTCTTTTATTTTTATTTTTTTAATTTTTTTTAGATTTATTTATTTTTGATATAAAAAATATATGTATTTTTTTTTTAAAAAATTATTATTAATGTTTTTTTTAAACAAGAAATTGTTTTTTTATAAATTTTGATTAATTTTTAATAAAATTTTATGTAAAGAAATATTTTATCTTATAAGAAAAAATAAAAAAAAACTAAAAAAAAAAAGAAATAAAAATATTTATTTAGAAAATATATTACAAAAAGGTTATTATAATATATATAAAAAGATATATATATATGTATACATATATATATATATATATATATATATATTTTTTTTCATTTATATTTTATTTATTATATTTATTCTAAATTTCTTAATTTAATTTTTTTTTTAAATCTATATATTATGAATCATTTTATATTTTTTGTTCAAATAAAAAAAAGATAGAGAAAGCGTTTATTATTAGTAGTCAGAATACTTAATTATTAATTATATCTAGTTCAAAATTATTAATAAAAGTATTACGCTTATATAATATTATTTATTCTATATCCTTAAATTAAGGATATCATTAAGATCTTTTTTTGATTTATACTTTATATATATTTGTTAAATAGACTTTAATATTAATAATTATTAAATTTTAATAGAATAATTTAATTTATGTTTTTGTTAATTTTTAAATTTAATTTGTATTTGATATGGCAATAATTTATAAGACATATGTTTAATGCTAGTGTTATTTATTATAAAACAATTTTAAAATTAAAAAATATATATAAATTGTAATTTTATCTTTTATATTTTTATTAAAAATTAAATTTTTTAATAATATTTAATTTATTTTATTTTTTTTATTAAAAAAAAAAGAATCAATGTTAATTAACTATATATTCTCCTAATTAATATATTATAATTAATTATTTTTTAAACAAATTTATTCTTTTATATATTACTATTAAATATTCAAAACTATCATAAAGTTCTATAAATATGTTTATATATAACTTTTTATACTTATATTTATTTAATATTATTAATTTTTAATTTAAATTATATGAAAAATACTTTATTCTTTCATTTAAATATTGATTTTAAATATATATTTTAATTTTCTATAATTATCAATTTAAATTAAATTATATATAAATGTAATTTTTTATAAAAATAAATGTTTATTAATTTATTTTATATAAATTTAAAAGTTTAACAAAAATTATATTATAATAATAAAATATATAAATATATATAAATTTCAATTATATATATATATATAATAAAAAAAGAAAGAAAAAATAATAAAAAAAAAAAAAGGAATAAAAAAAATAAAAAAAAATACAAAAAAAATAAAATAAAAACATCAATATATATTTAGTAAATAAAAACAAAAAACAAAACAAAAAATGAAAATAAAATTCATATTAAGAGGCGATTGCTACAAAAATAATAAAATTCCAAAAAATTATTAAGAATTAGTAGATATAGTAAAAGCATAATTCCAAAATAAAATTCCAGAAAATTTTTGTTTCAAATATGAAGATAATGATAAAGATTCAATTAACATAGAATCGTAGGCAGATTTTGAAGCTTTATAAGAATATTATAATTCCGAAAATTTAAAATCAATTAAAATTCGTATAGATTAACTCTAGAATAAATAATATATAGATTACACAAATTCAGTATAAATAATTTAAATTAAATAAATAAATAAACAGATAATTGTGCTATAAACTTAAGCATGAACCCATTCTAACCTATTTATTAGCGAGTAAAAAAAATATGCTCAAATAATTCTAATTAATAATAAAATAATATAAGTTAATCATAATGTTCTTATTAACCAATTTAAACAACACCAAGCTTATCTAAAAAAACATCAGGGATAAATACTTAAGTATAATAATAATAACAATAATAATTGTAATAATTATAGTAGTTTTAATAATAATAATAATTATTATTATAATAGTAATAATAATAATCTTAATAGATGCCAATAATAAATTATCAAAATAGTTAAGAATAATAATAATAGGTGAATAAAAATAATAAATAAAATTAAAACTAAAACTACAGTTTTAATTTAACAAATTAATAACAAAACAATAATTTAATAAATATATTAAATTAATAAACATTTAAATATACAACTTCAGAACATGAAGTTTCTTAAGGAAACGGAAGTCCTTGCGAATAAATAAACAATAATTAAATTTAAGATAAAATTTAGGAAAGTAGAAAATAATAAATATAACCAATATTTAAAAACATTTTAATGTCATAATAAGAAAACAAGTAAATCGTAAATAATAATAAAAATAATAAAGAAAATAATGATGATAGAGATAATAATAATAATAATAATAATAATAATAATAATAATAATAATAATAATAATAATGATAATTATAATTAATTATGTAAAAAAGATTAAAGAAATATAAAAATTCCAAATTTAAATATAGGAAAAAATTAATAAAACCATAATAATCTTTAATAATTAGATTAAAATTTTAAAATTCCTTGTTAGAAGTGTTTTTTTAATAAAAATTAATTTTGTTCCTTATGTGATGGACAAAACTTTATTTTAATTATGAAAGAAGACGAATTATATTAAGTTACTAAAACAATAGTTTAAGAAAAGCTTAAATAAGCTGATCATATATTAAAAACAGTTTAAAAAAAACAATTAAACATTGAAAAAATAACTAAAGAAAGCATGAAAATTGTAGAAAATATAATCTAAGGAAAAAATATTTAATAATAATAGGTATGTATATTGTGTAATAGAGATAATTCTGATGAAGAATTTAGATACATATGTGTAGATTGTAAAAGTTTAAATAATGCTTTTTGTTCTGAATGTGAAAAAAAACACGATTAAAGTCACAAAATAATCGAAATTCATAAAAATGATAATCTAATTTTCCAAAATTAGTAATAAAATATGAATTTTTCATATAAAGTTTCATAAGACACATTCGAAAATAATTAAGAATAATAAAAAAATTAAGAAGATAATTATTAATAAAGGCATAAAGTTACGGGTAATAATAGCCTAGCAAATTCATAAAATATAAATCCTGTATAAAAAATTTGTACTATAATAGAAGAAAAAAAAAAAAATTTTTTAAATAATAATGAAATTATAGGAAGAAATTCTATACTTTTTTTAACCAATAAAAATCAAAATTAAGAAATTGAAAAAAAAGATACAATATAGAATATATAGAATGATTTAGTAAAATATATAATAATATTTTTGTTTTATTAATTTAATATATAAAAATAATAAAAAGTAAAAATAAGTACAATAATAAAATCTATAAAAAAATAATACATTATAGTAAAATCATAGATAAAATATTTTAATGGATTCAATGTGTATAATAAGTAAAAATGCAATTCCTTAATAAAATAATTTATCGAGATCATTAATTATTTCGGGAAGGACTAGTTTTACTCCTTTGTAAAATATTAGTTCACCTACATAGAATTAAATTAATGTTATTTAAGCGAAATCTATTAAAAGTTGGTGTATTTAATAAGCCATTAATAATACTGTAATTACTTATTAGGAAATTCAAAATATCGGAAAAGAAAAATGGCCTGAGAATTTATTCCTTTAATGTATTTCGGGACTTTTAGATTAATATAAATAACCAGTACTTTCAATTGATAAAGGTTATAGTGTATTTTTAGCTTTTGCATTGAAGATACCCAATGATTGTAAGTCTTTTAATACAAGTTGGAGACTATAGTATGTTATTAAAGATGATCAAAATGAAGAAAAAAAATTCTTTGGACCGAAAATTCCTATTAAATATGAAATGAAGGAAGACATGGGTTTAGAATAAGAAATATGTATTTATTATATTTAAATATAAATATTTATATATTTTTTTATTTATAAATATATATATGTATTTTTTTTTACGTTTTTTAAAATAGTAATAAATCCTTAAAAAATTCTATAAGATATTATTTAAGAAATTTTTGATAAAGATGATAAATAATAAATTAATAATTTTATTATAGAATTAGATGATTATTTATAATGCTTCATTAAATAAAAAGATCCTAATCTAACATTTCCTATGTTACTTATTAAATATATTGAATTTTATGTTAGCTATAAATAATAAAAGTAAGAATAATAATGAATAATTATAATATTTTAAAAATAATAATAATAAATTATATTATATATGGTTAGAAAAAATTAAATAATGTAGTTTTTTATTTATATTAATTTATTATTTTAATTAAATTATATTTTATATAATTAATTTTTTAAAAAATAAATAATATTAAAATTTATAAGTTAATATCTATTAACTAAATAAAAATTTAAGTAATCATTTATATATAATTTTTTATATTTTTTAGTTTGATGATTATTTGATATATTTATTTAGGAATTTTATGTATTTAAAAGAAAATAAAATATTAAAAAATATAATTATATAAAGTTATTATAAAAAAATATTATAGATTATATTGAGTTAAATTAATATTAAATATAAAAATAAAAAAAAATAACTGAAATATTAATTATAAAAAAATAAATATTATATAAAATTATTTAAAATATATTATAAAAATTTAAAAAATAATTATAAAGAAAAAAAAAAAAGAAAAAATTCAAAAAAAAGAAATAAAATTATATTTATAAAATAATGAAAATAAAAGAAAAAATAGAAAAAACAAACTTTAAAATTTTAAAAATCATATAAAAATACAAAATATTAAAATAATAAAAATATTAATATTAAATAAATATAATTTTAATAAAAAAATAAATAAACTTATTTAAATATTAAATTTACTATTAAATATATATTAATTATATATTATAATAATAATTTTTTGTATATAAAATATTTAATAATTTTTTCATAATAATTATATTAATTTATATATATATATTAATTTATGTATTTAATATATATTTTTTATTTATACTAAAAATATTAAATTTAGATCAGTTTTTTTGTATAATTATTATTATTTAAAATTTAAAATCTAAAATCCATTTTTAATTTAATAATTTTATTTTTATTTAAGAATACTAAATATATTGTTACTTTTTTTTTTTTCATAAAAATAAGAATTAGTAGTAGAAATATTAGTAATATTTTATTAAATATAATCATTAAATAATTTATATATGAAAGATTTAAAACTTCAAATAAAATTAAATAAATATTCTATTTTTGATTTCAAATTAATATTAGACTTTTTATTTAACGAATTTACTATATTAATTGAATAATTCAATTTTTGCTTTATTTTTTCATAAAAATTGATATTAATAGTGTTCCAAAAAAATTATATCGTAACTTTTTTTTAATAATATAGTCTATTTGTGGATAATTACTAATTTTTTTAAAAAAAAATAGTAAACAAAGAATAATATAATATTTAACTTTTTATAATGTTTTTCTTATTTTAGGCTTTTTATACCTGTTCTATTATAATTACTTATTATCATATACAATTTTTTTCTATAGTATGCTTGATATAAATATATTTCTATTCTAATATAAAATTAAAATAAAAATAAAATTTTAATTAGATATTTAATTTATTATTAATATAAGTATAAATATTTAATTTAAATATTCTTTATTCATTAAAATTATATAAATTTTAAATATATTTTTTTTTTAAAAAAAAGTTTATTTTATTAAAATAAAAAAGATTTATACTAATATATATTTATTATAAATAAAAATGTTTAATTTTAATAAAAATTTTAAATAAAAAAACAATTAAAAAAATAAATATGAAATTTATTAAAAAAAATTAAATTAAATAAAATAAAAATTAAAATAAAAAATTAAAAAAAAATTAAATATTTTTAAAAATTAGTTTTCTCATTATTTAAAAATTATAAATTTACACAAAATCAATAATCCTAATCCAGTAGCACCAACAGAAGCTAAAACTTTAAAAATATTTCTAAAATTTCTAATAATTTTAAACTTTATATTAAAAACATTTATATATAATAAAACATATTCTATAATTTATTATATTACGTTTTCATTTAATTCTTAATTCTCATTATTTTGTTTTATTTAGAGAAGAAATTAGTTTTAATCATCAAATGACATTTCTTAAGCTTATGTTTTTTAAATAGGATATTAAATAACTTTATTAATACTATTTTAAATTTCGTTTTTATCATTTATTTAAAAACTAGATGAATCATTAACTCCTTTATAAATTGGAGATAAAATACTTTAATTAATATCATTACTTTTTTAAATAACATTTTGTTTTTCAGAATCAATTTCTATGTCTTTTTCTTAATTTTTACCATAAGAAAAACATTATTTATTTTATAAAGTTAAATTATTATTTATATTATTATTAAATTATTATTAAAATTGTTAAGAATTTAAATCTTTTTATTATTAATGTTAATTTATTTATTATTATTATTAAAAGTTTTAATTATTATATTCTTATTTGTTTAATTTCTATTAATTTTGTTAATTTATATTTTAGTTTTATTCTTATTATAAATTTATATTTTATTATTTATCTTATTCTTTGTAATTATTTTATTCTTAATATTTTTATTATTCTTAATGACATTCTTATTTTTATTGAATTTATTACTATAAAAATTATAATTATAATTATTATTATTATTATTATTATTATTATTATTATTATTTTTATTTTTAATTATTATTATTATTATTATTTTTAATTTTAATTTTATTATTAATATTATTATTAGTTTTATATTTATTATTGATTTTATTAATTTTGTTATATTTATTATTATTTTTAAATGATTTCTATTTTATTATATTAATCATTTATAATAAATTCCTCTATTATTATATTTGTTAATTTTTTATTCATTCATTTTATTTATATTTATATCACATAACTATTTTTCTTTTATTTATAAAATTTAATTTTTTATTTAATTATTTTCTTATATTTAATTTATGTTATTTTAACCTGTTTCATCTGTTTTTTTGATTACATTTTTATTATTTTTTGATTTCTTAATTTAATTATTATATTCTTATTCATTTTAAATTATTAATTGTTTATCAACATCTTTTTAATTATATTCATTATTATTTTTTTCAGATTTTTTTTCATTATTTAAATTTATTTATTAAATTTCATTTTCATTACTTTATTATTCATATTTATATTCATTTTATTTTATTAATTATTACTTAATATCATAATTTAATTACGTTTCGTTTAAATTTATATTTTTTTCATTATTATTAAAGATTTATAATTATTCATTTAAATTAATTTATTGTTACTCTGAAAAATTATTATCTTAAATTTCTTTTTCTAGGTTTTTCGAATTTTCCATATTTTAAATATTTTCGATTTCTTATAAATTTTAGGAATAAAAATTTTGTTCTTACTTTTTATCAAATTTTTATATTTCAGAATTCTTTATTTTTTGGCTTTAAATAATTTCTTAACTCTATTCTTATTTTTATTATTTGTTTAGATTATCTTTATTTAAATTATCTTAAATTTCTTATTTTTTATTTCCTTATTTTTAATTTACAATTTCTTATTATTATGATTATTAATTAATAAATTAATTTGTATCTTTTATTTATTATAAATCCTATTAATAATTATTTATTTCTTATTTTTAAATATTATATTCTTCATTTTATTAAATTGTATAATTATTTTAACTATTTTAATCATTATATTTCGTTTATTATAAAAATGATTATTGTTATATTTAATGAATATTTTCTAAATTAGATTATTCTTATATTTCAATATGACTTTAGTTTTAAGTATTTTCTTATAGTTATTATTTATTATTATCTTCTATATTTTATTATTCCTATTATTAATTAAGATTTATTTATTAAATAATATCTTAATTATTTTGCATTTAATTAATTTCTTTTTTCTCAATTTAAATTTATAATTCATTTGATGTTTAGTTTAATTCTTATTTTTAAATTTGAATTTATATATCTTTTTAATCATTTCCTATATTTTTATTATAATAAAGTTCTTATTTTTAAATTTAAATTAAATCTTTTGTTTTACTTTCCTCTTTTTCTTAACTTTAGTTTTATTATATATTATTTTAAATGTTTTCTTAATCATTGTTTTAATTAATTTCTTTATTTTATTATTAATCATTATTTAATTCTTGATTTAAAATAGTATTTTCTATTTATTCTTAAATAATTTAAATATCATTTTAATTTATATTTATATATTTATTAGAATTATCATTTTTTTCTTAGTCATTTACTAATTATTCTTCTTATTATTAATTTTTGATTTGAGTTTATTATTTATATTCTTTATTTTAATCTAATTTATTATTTTATAATTCTTAATTTTATTTTTATTCTTTTTCTTATTATTATTATTAAGTAATATCTTCTTATTACTCTATATCAAATTCTTAATTTTAATTTCCTTTTATTTTAATATTATCTATATTTACTTATTCTTCAATTAAATTAGTAATATTATTTTAAACTTAAATTGTTTCTTCTAATAAAACTTAATTACTTTCTTCCTTTTTTATTTCTTAATTTTAAATTTCTTCATTTTAAATAAATTAATTTTCTTAAATTTCAATTGGTTATATTTCTTCCTTTTAAACCAATTAAATTTACATATTTTCAATTAATTAATATTCTTCTTTTTCCTTTTAAACAGATTGAATCTATATATTTTCAATTTATTTATTCTCTTCTAATTAATTTTCTTTCTCTTAAATTTCTTTGCATTTAAATTTAGTGATTTTCTCCATTCTCAATTTATTAGCTTTATTATATAGAATCTTGAATAATATCTTTATTTTCAATTTAATGATTATCTTATCTTTAATAAATTTAAATTTCCTAGTCTTCTATTTGTTCCTGATTTTCTTAACTTTTTAATTCATTATTATCTTAATTCTATTTTTACATTAAATTATTATATTATATATCCTTTAAATTTAAATCATTATTTTCATTTTTAATTGTTGGATGGACATTCAATAATTAAATATTTATTTCATGTTTATTTAATTGATTATCTTAGTTTATATTTTCATCTTAAATATCCAATAAGTCTTTTTAATTTTATTAATTATCTTAATCAAATTATTAAACTAATTATGTTACATTATCATTTTATATATTAATATATTGTTGTTCATTTATATTTTATTATTCTAATAATTATTATTAATTTTATTTTTAAATTAAATCTATTTCTATATTCTATTATTATATTTTATTTTCTTATATTATTATTTCTTCTTAAATATTTTATTTTTTTTCAATTTAAAGATTCTATTCTTATTATATTTGAATAATTTATTCTTATTATATTTAAATGTCTTTTTCTTATTAATTATAAAAATCTTATTATTATTATTGAGTTTATATACCATCTTATAATTGATTATTTTCTTAATATTAATTATCAAAATCTTATTATTATTTTTAAACTTAAATATAGTCTTATTACTAATCATCTAAAATTTAATTATCCTATAATTATTACATTTAATTTTATTATTATTATTATTATTATTATAATTCAAATTTTTCTTTTTTCTTATAACGTTTGATTTCTTCTTAAATTTAAATTGATTCTTATTTTTCATCAATTTAATTTACTTGATTGTTTTCTTATTAGGTATTTTATTCTGTTTGTTAATTTTAAAAATCTTGATAATTATTTTATAGTATATTATCATTTTTATTATTATAGTTGTTTTTATTTTAGTCATCATTTGTGGTTATTTATATTTAATTTTCTGTTTAGTAATCTTATTTCTATATTGTTTTAGTTTATTCTATTTTATTATTTATATCTTATGCTTAATTTAAAGTTTAATTACATTCAATATGTTAATCAATTTTAGATTTAATAATAAATTCTTAAATATTATCTTAAAGTTACGTTTATTCGTTTATGTTTTATATATTATTTTAAAATTATTATTATTCTACGTTTAATAAATAAAATTATGGTTATTATAATATATCTTTTTATTAAAACTATTATTATTAAAATTATTAAACGTTATATAATTCTTATAATTATTACTATTCTTATTATTTTTATTAATCTAATTATTCTATTTATACTTATTATTGATATTATGTTTATTATTCTTATTATTCTTATTATTATTATTATTCTTATTATTCTTATTATTCTTATTATTTTTATTAAACTTATTTTCTTATTATTCTTATTATTATTAATATTTCTATTATTCTTATTATTCTTATTATTCTTATTTTTATTAATATTCTTATTATTCTTATTATTCTTTTTAATAGTATTTTTCTGATTATTCTTATTAACCTTATTTTTCTTATTAATCTTATTATTCTTATTATACATATTATTCTTATTATTCTTAATATTTTTATTTTTCTTATTCTTATTATTATTATTATTAATCTTATTTTTCTTATAAATCTTATTATTCTTATTATTCTTAATATTATTAATATTCTTATTATTCTTATTTTTCTGATTATTCATATTATTCTTATTATTCTTATTTTTCTTATTTTCTTATTTTTCTTATTATTCTTATTATTATTATTATTATTCTTATTATACTTATTATTCTTATGAATCATATTATTCTTATTATATTTATTATACTTATAATTCTTATAATTCTTATAATTCTTATAATTCTTATAATTCTTATTATTCTTAATATTCATATTATTCTTATTATTATTATTATTATTATTCTTAATATTCCTATTATTATTATAATTTATATTATTTTTATTATTCTTATTTTTATGATTTTTCTTATTATTCTTATTCTTATTATTGATATTATGTTTATTATTCTTATTATTCTTATTATTCTAATTATTCTTATTATTCTTATTATTGATATTATGTTTATAATTCTTATTATTCTTATTAAACTTACTTTTCTTATTAACCTTATTTTTCTTATTAATCTTATTATTCTTATTATACATATTATTCTTATTATTCTTAATATTCTTATTATTTTTATTTTTCTGATTATTCTTATTATTTTTATTATTCTTATTATATATATTATTCTTATTAATATTATTATTATTATACTAATTATTCTTTTAATTCATATTATTCTTATTTTATTTATTATACTTATAATTCTTATTATTCTTATAATTCATATTATTCTTATTATTCATATTATTCTTATTAATCTTATTATTCTTATTATTTTTATTATTTTTATTATTATTCTTATTATTCTTATTATTCTTATTTTTCTGATTATTCTTATTATTTTTATTATTTTTATTATTATTCTTATTAACATTATTTTTCTTATTAATCTTATTATACTTTTTATTCTTATATTTTTCTTTATTTTAAACTTTCATTTTATACTTAGTTTAAATTATATTCTAAATTTATTTAATTTTTATTTTTATGTATTAATTTATATTATTGTTATTATACATTCAATTTTTATTATTATTCTTCTTATTCATATTAATCTATTTCTTTTTATATTTTTTAGATTTATTATTCTTATTAATTTTTTTGCTATTATATATCGTCATATTAATGCTGTTATTCAAATTATAATTATTATTATTTTTATTGTATTTTTTCTATTTACTATTCTTATTCTTTTTATTATTCTTAATAATTTTATTATTCTTCTTATTATTATTATTCTAATAATTTATAAGATTATTATTATTATTAATATTTTTATAATTATTCTGCTTATTTTTATTTATAATCCTATTATTATTATTCTTCATATTATTTCTCTTTTAATCCTAAATATTCTTGTTAATCTTACTATTCTTATATTTATTATTTCACATAACAAGGAAATACTTCTTTTTAAATTTATTAGTATTTTTTTCTTATTCTTATTCTTATTCTTATTCTTATTCTTATTCTTATTCTTATTCTTATTCTTATTCTTATTCTTATTCTTATTCTTATTCTTATTCTTATTCTTATTCTTATTCTTATTCTTATTCTTATTCTTATTCTTATTCTTATTCTTATTCTTATTCTTATTCTTATTCTATTTCTTTAATT